ATTTTCTACTCAACTTTCACTGTAATACAAAAATTATATAAAAATATAAAAAAATATCTAATATAAAAAAATATAAAATAATGTAATATAAAAAAGTAACAAGTTTTTTTTCAACTTTTTTAAAATTGCAATAATACAATATTACAGGGAAAGTATACGTAGTAGGCATATGTGTTTTAATTTGAATCAGTCTTAACGAAGACTCTTAAAATCTATTGGGACTCCCGCTCGGGTGCGTCCCTGGGTGCGTTTTATATAGATAAAAATAATTATTGCGAGTGTACCTTAGGAGACCAACATATGCTATTGCGGACTTTTCTGCAGGCCTTTTTAAGACCACAATTTTCTTTACCTACGAATTTCGAAAAATGCTAAAACACGTATTTATTTAATTGTATTGAAGAGCAGTTGTACCGAGTTTCAAGTAATTCTGATCATATATAAGTTTTGGGTTGTATTATAACGTGTTTTCCCGTGGGAATGAGATTATCTCCCGAGGTAAAAAATAAGGTAAAAAGCTTATGTCACTCTCCAACTCTCCAACTATTTCCACACACAAAATCACTTTAATCCGTCACTCCTTTTCGACGTGAAAGAAAGACAAACAAACAAACAAACATACAAACAAACAAACACACTTTCACATGTGTAATATTAGTATGGATATATGCAACTAGCCTAACATCTAGTAACGGTTCACATAATATGTTAACCACGAAATATTCTAATAATGGTTCAAAGTTATCCGAGCTGACTTGTCTCAACTCTCGTGTTTTATAATACTATTCTTCCATTTCGTTTACCTCATTCCACCCCATTTTTCTTTTAACTTCAACTTATTTCAATACAATAATTATTTAATTATATGATCTACATAGGACTATTTTTGAATTTGGAGCTTTCTAAGTAAAATAAATGTAGTGTTAAAATTTATCAATTATTCGTATGTATTCTGCCCTTTTTAACGTCCCACTGCTGGGGGTGGGCCTCCCTTCAATACGAGGGGGATCAGGCCATAGTCCACCACGCTGGCCAAGTGCGGGTTGGCGGACTTCACATGTCTTTTGAAAACTTAGTAGGTTCTCCCAGATATGCAGGTTTCCTCACGATGTTTTCCTTCACCGTTAAGACGGGTGGTAATCATGTTGGAAATGATTTGCACATGAAAATATCAGAGGTGCGAGACCTGGGACTTGAACCCGCTTCACTCGGTTTCCCAATATTTTATTCGTATAATTCGTCCTATTCAGCTTCGTCCGAAGATATTAGCACAGATTACATATAGTATCGCGCAGTGAAACGCCGAGCTGGCACTATATTTATAGCATTTACTTTTTTTTAATTTAAAAAAGAAATGACAACCTAATATGTTCTCTGTCAATCTTTCTCATTCAGTTTAGAGTTTCAAAAGAGCAAAATATTTTAAATAAAACTATCTTTTCGGATTTTTTCGCGAATTTATTTTGATTTTTGGTTCCCGACGTTTCGAATGCTTTACAGCATATGAAATCCGAAAAGATAGTTTTATTTAAAATGTCAAGTATTCGCGTAAATCTAAGAAAGTATTGAGAGCAAAATATTTCACGACTTATTAGGGTAATAAAATTGGGAGGGAGGGATGCTAATATCTTCGGACGAACACTTCGTATAATTATGATAAAACTTCACTTACAGGTAAGTTCGTTTAATCATTTAATATATTTCAATATTTTATTCTATAAGTTAAATAACACTTGTTAATTTATGAAAGAGAAATAGCAGTAATTAATTATAATCACTTAAAATACAAACTAAGGAGACTAAAAGGTACATTAAAGTTACCTTCTTTTGTGAATGCGACTTTTGTCAAACTTAAGAGAAATTCGAAGAGAGTATTAATTAAAATTTCTACAAACTGAAATTAAACTCGCTGAACTCAGTTCGAGTTTGCTCAATAAAAGTATCATGTGGATTGTTTTCTTTTAATTGTAAACTTCAGAAGTTTTACTTAAAAATATATTATATAGTGTAGTAAAAGGCAGCGGTAGCCCAGTGGTAGCGCGCTCGCTTGGGAAACCGAGTGAAGCGAGTTCAAACCCCGGGTATCGCACCTCTGATATTTTGATGTGCGAATCATTTCTAACATGATTACTACTTGCCTTACGGTGAAGGAAAACATCGTGAGGAAACCTGCATGTCTGACAAAACCTAGCAAGTTTTCGAAAGACATGTGAAGTCCACCAACCCGCACTTGGCCAGCGTGGTGGACTATGGCCTGATCCTCCTCGTATTGAAGGGAGGCCCGTTCCCAGCAGTGGGACGTTAAAAATGGGTAAATACATAAACATATTATATAGTAGAGTAGTTTTTATGTAGTATCGATTTTTCATAATTTAAAAAAAACATCTATTTATCTATAATACAGATAAATAAAATTGAAGTGACTGTTTGTAATGTCAAAATAAAAGTTTTTTTATTAAATTTATAATATGATAAAAAAATATTTTATGCACGGATTTCGCTGTTAATATTTTATTATATGTATAGATATTTAAAAAGGCAAAGACTACAATGTTCACTACCTTTGTCTCGTCTGTTTGTTTTCTTTATTTTTGTTTAGTAGTTATTGACGAACTTAAGTGTTATCAATAAAAAAATTTGGGAAGCATTTTTTTATATAGATAGGTAGGATTTATATGTAAATACATATTTTCCTCCAAATTTTCTCTAATGGTTGTAGTCGAATTTCAACCAAGTAATAACAAAGGAACAAAGTATATTTTATTATTAAACTAACGACCGTTTTCGTCCCTAGTGTAGTTTTCAGCGGTTTCTTCCCTAGGTTGATTCCCCATACAAAATTTTCTCCCAATTTTCACCCCCTTAATAAATGATTTTCGGGACAAATACTATCCTATATCCTTCCCAGGGTCTCAAACTATCTTCTTATTAAATTTCATCTAAATCGGTCCAGTAGTTCCGGAGCCTATTCAGTACAAGCAAACAAACAAAAAATCAAATCTTTCCTCTTTATAATATTAGTATAGATAAAACACTATATCTTGAATATTAAAAAAAACCACACTGTCTTTTATAGCGTATGACAAAAACATACTTTAATGAGAATTGTTAGTGCTTTTTTGAGAGGCGCGTGTGAAGATGTTTCGAAATTGTTACTTAAACACGTAAACGTTTCCTTACATAAGTAACCTAGTTTTTTTTCCATTTTAAATTTCTTTGAGTTTCTTTAGTTATAAAGACTGCTGTTTTATAATTTGGTACATAATAATATTTTAAATGTGAAAGTAATTAATTCTGTTTGTTACATTTACACGCTAAAACCACTGAACAGATTTCGATAAAATTTGGCAAGAACATAGATTGCATCCCGGGATCAGAAATTGGCTACCCTTAATGTTGTTTATTACACGGGCGGAGCTGCAAGCAAAATCTAGTTTACTACAAATAAAAAGAGGACCAATAGTTAATATGCCACACTAGCTTTCACCCGAGATTTCATTCGCGTAATACGTCTATAACAATACACTCTTAAGCATTTACTACCGTTTGTGAAAGTCCCATGAAAATCGGTTCAGGTATACATTAAAAAAATCTTGTTTCCCTGTTATTTGGGATGTGACACGTGAGCACTTAATTATTATTATTTATATCGAACCTGTGTGTTTTATTGAGCAAGTTAGTTCAATGCCAGCTTAAGCAACTAAATACTTTTTCTTTTAGAAAACCAAAATTTGCATTTTGGTACCAAATTAGCTTTATTGTGAGAAAAAAATAAAAATTTGGTCATGCTAGCTTTTCAGACGTACCTACTGACAGACGCTCAGACAGACATCAACATTTGTATAAAAATTCTTTTTTTTTTAATGGACCATATTTTTTTTCAAAATTTCGAACTTTAACGACTTAAATATGACGGTTCTCTTTTCGATTCGAGGTTTATCTTCTATCCTTTTCTTTCCTCAGGTCGTACTTAATATATTCCTATTCGAATCATCTATTTACTTGTGAAAGTTAGGGTGACCTCAATGCAGAGGTAATAAGGGGAAAAATCTTTCTTAGATTTATGTTAATATTTGACATTCTCAATAAAACTATATTTTCGGTTTTTTTTCGCGAATTTATTTATAAAATTTTCTAGAAAATTGTATTAATTATAATAGTAACAGCTAAAATTAAATAAATAATATTCCATTATGAAACTTATTGAAATATTCAAAATTACAATTATCAAATATTGTAACTTACTTTGGTGTCAGTTTTGTATTTTTTGGATTCATATTATTATTTTGTGGGTAGGCTGTCTGTAACAACTATAATATTTATAATGCATTTGAAAAAGAAAACGTAGTCTCTCCCGTGACCATGATTGCTATAAAGCATTCGAAACGTCGAGAACTAAAAATCCAAATAAATCCGCGAAAAAAACCGAAAAGATAGTTTTATTTAAAACGGGAAAAATCTTATTTTTGTTATGAATAATCAATTTAATAATAATAACGTATACATTTTCCTTAAGAATTAATATGATAGATATTTATTTGACGCATTTTTTCTAATATACTTTTTATCCCATTTATATGTATTTATGGATCGTAATAGCATAATCATCGTCATGTGTTATTAATTTGCCGTTTATTTAAGAGGCATAAACCATTTTTCGATTACACGTTTGGCTCAGTTTGTAGTGACGCTACTTGCTGTGCTAGCGGTCGCGGATTCGAGTCCCGCTGGGGATTCATTTGTGTGATGAACACGAATGTTTGTACTCTAGTCATGGGTGTTTATATTTATAATATGTAAGTATTTAAAGTTATATATGTTTGTATACTGTATCAACAATTTGATATCCATAACACAAGCCTCGTAGCTTAACATGAACTAGATGGTGCTGTGTATTAATGTTCTAACGTAATATTTCTATCTTATATTTATTTATTTTATATGATTTTTCCTTCCAGAAAAACCAAAAAATATTTTGTCCACGTTTATATATAACTTACCTATAACGTCGATAAACTTTGTAGCTATCTGAGTGGCAAAGGACGGAGAGTCAGCTGTGACTTCGCAAGAGAAGTTTCCCGCTAAGCCGAGTTCTAGACGCCGGAGAAGTACTTGCGTGCCATTTGATCTGTTCATCTGAAAATATGTTTGGATCATATCAGCTTTAGCTTATGTTATAATCATACGAACGTGTTTGTTTATCCATATTATATGCAGCAAAATAAATTAATGATTCGAAGTAATTCTTCATATACAGGACCGTCTTAAGCCATGCACAAGACGGCTTATGTTATGCACACGGTAATTTGGGTCAATTTCGAAAGTTGAAAAATTTGAATGATTTGAAAAATTAAGTAAACTACAAAAATTAAAAAAAAATCGATGGCGTAAAGAAGTAAAAGTTGATGAAGAAACATAATATAATTCAGTGTAGAGTACCTATATAGTGCAGTGTATTATAAAGTAAGAGCTTCTTTCTTTTCCATGTAAACGAAAATGTTGTCTTTCGGAGGGCCCTCTTGAGGCTGGGGGACCTGGGCACGTGCCCGTGTGATAGTTTGTAGGTAGGACAGTTATAAGATTGACTGATTTTATACAGCAATATGCCGTATGTTTTTATTATTTGATTATAAACTAACAGCGGCATGTTTAATTCCGTCCAGTTTTACAATTAATTGATATAATATACCCACGCATATTTAAGCATTCAAAATTATAATAGTGATTTCGAAACATAGGAGAAAAAGGCACTGATCTGTTTATGTATATTTATATGTATACTAGCGACTCATCCTCGCTTCGCTCATGTTCGTTCCTAGGTACGTTTTAACAGTTAGTATGGAATAGATAGATTATATATAAGTATAGAAAAGTAGGTAAGTTCTTTAAAAAACTTGAAAAAAAACCCTTATTTTACCTTGATTGGTCATAAACGCCTAAATATTTCTCAGTTTTACCAAAATTATAACATATAATGATTTTTTTTTTCTCAACTTGAGAAATGATTTGTACCTAATACAAACTTTCAACCCCTTTTAAGTTTTTCCATTTTTGCGACCAATAGTATCCTATGTCTTTCACCAAGGTTCCATCTCTCTCTATTCTAAACTTCATCAAAAATGGTTCAGTAGTTTAGGCGTGAAACCGTAACAGACAGACATAATTACTTTCACATTTATAGTATTAGTATGGATAGATTAGTCAAAAATTAAAATTATCAATATATTAAAATTATGTAAATCTATACATATAATAAAATTCTAACTAAACCGAATCTGTACATTAAATATTTTTTGGAAAATCTTATTGAAATAAACATCCTTATCGATACAGAGGCCGAATCTATAGTTTTTAGATTTTTTGTCTATCTGTCTGTTACCAAATCACAGAAAAACCACTGGAGGCATTTTGATGAAATTTGGTATGGTGGTAGCTGGCTATCCGGGTCAACATATTGGATACTTTTTACCGCGGGGAAATATCTCATTTATGAGAAAAAATACAAAAACTGCAATGAAAGAGTATAATATGTAAACTCTAAGAATTTGGTTTTTGGACATCTGTACGCGGGCGGAGCTTCGGGAAATGCTAGTTATCAATATAGTAGAAAATCAGAACAAACTCATTGCAAAATTCATGGCAATTACTTGCTTGAAGCAAGGTCAAAATCTGTATTCAAATTACCACAATTCTAAATGGATGACTTATATTGAAATTATATAATTAGTAAAATTAATTATTAACCAAAATTAGTCACTATAGGGGAAGCCTAATTTGTATATGAGAATTGATAGTATACATACATATTAATATACATGTACAATTGTTATACTAAATCTGACATGACACAAAGGAGGGTTATTGGGCTTCGCCGGAGTCGAGTAAAAATTACAATATCGCAGTAATTACTTAATGAAAATTTTAAATTCTTCATACATTCACTTAGGAACAACGCATAGCCTAGCTTTAGATCGTTAGGTTCGATCGTAACATAAACATGAATTTTATATTACAGTTAACTACAATATAAAGAAGTTACGCGCGTTTTTAGAAGCTAGCAGATAGAACTTTCTATACTTTATTAATTTTTATTGGCTGTAAAGTAATGAATGACGTGTTTTAGAACTTTATAACATTTAAGACTATAGAAGACAGACACAGGACACAGCTGAACAAGCAGGGGTACGTAACTAGTATAATATATAAATTTCATCTATACAGATAAATTAAATTGAAGTGTCTGTTTGTAATGTCAAAATAACTGCTTTTTTCTAAATGCAAATGGGATGTGTCACGGTAAATATACCAAAACAACATTTTTTACAATTTAGTCTGTCCGTCTGTCTGTTTGTTCCGGCTAATCTCTGAAATGGCTGGACCGATTTTGACGGGACTTTCACTAGCAGATAGCTGATGTAACAAGGACTAACATAGGCTACTTTTATTATATTCTCGCCTAGTGCACATAATGAAAACCCGATTTAGTCTAGGTAAAAAAATAACAAAATCTTTATTACCTTACAACATTAAATATGTTGAAATCTATATATACAGTTTGACTAAATATGGATACCTTTTTTTTTTTTAACGTTGGGAAATGCACGAAGTGTGGGACTCACCGGCGAAACCAGTACTACCCACTAAAACCCAACAAAACCTTCCCCCGTCTTAATGGGGCGTCGCAGGATCGCTTACGCATTCAACTACGACGCCCCGACGGCAGGTCTGCCGAAGCAGACCACAACAACCATGGGGTTGCTCCACGGTCCACTCTGCTATCAGAGAAGTACCAGGAGCAACCCGCATGGTACACCACCCTCCGAAGAAGGCCGCCTCCCACCGCCCACCGAAGCGGGCCACCTTTCTGTGCGTTTCTTGGCTTCGCGAGTACACTACTGAGCCCCCCCACCACGACAAGGTGAACGCACGTTGGGGGGGTATATATGGATACCTACTCGTTCTTATGCAACATCACTTGTGAAGTGGCTACGAAAATTTAGTACCGATACGATATCGAGACACCCTTTTCACTTCTTCCATTCTCATATTTCTCATCAATCGAACTATACTTTTTTCTAGAGTTTTTTACTTGTTTTTGAAAATTTTACGACAAAAATTGTTGCCATTTAATACTAAATACTAAATACAACTAAGGCTCAGTGCAATGTTACATCAGAAATAGAAACAAGATTTCGTATTTTATTTGTAATTTTAGGACTGCAAAACCTTATATGTGTATTAAATTATAATTTAATATTAACTTTTAAGCACTCGCTAGCGAGTATCGAGTAACTACTTATAGTGTAGAACTTTGTGTCAACAAACTTTACGGGATTGTTAGGAATTGCTAACAAAGTTAAGTTTTTGAAGTCGTTGTTCCTTGATTTGTATCGGCTGGCACCGACTTCGAAAATATCTGATTAGGTATTCATCTATAGTTAACAAAAATTAACAATCAGTTATATTTTACTTTTTTAGTGTTTTTTTTTTGGAGTCGCTTTTTTTTAGTCTATTTTTCCATTATAAGCAAAATAAGAAGAAAGTATTTAAAAAAAAAATCAGTAGGTGAAAATCAATTATCCTCTATTTTCTGAGAGGTGGATGTATTTTTCAATTTTTTTTTAAATTAAGGATTTTTAATTTTTACTTAAAAAATATGGCATACATATAAATGATAATATTATATCATTATTTAAAACTGTCCAGTAATAGAAGGTCTATTATATCGACGTAAAACTTATCGCAACCATCGCCATCACATCTGCGCTCGCGATACGAAAACAATTAAAAAATCTAATAAAGACTGAAATTATGATATCTTGCTATTCATAAATCGTATAAAACAGAAATAGCAAACGAAGGTGACACAACAAAAGTTTAATAAAACGTCCATAGTAGGTAAATCAAAGAAAAATTCGACAACGCGTACTCGCTTAGTGGGTGAGGGGAGTTCACCCTCTCCCATGAAAAATTTCATTGGACCTATAGCGCTTTTACGTATGTATAAACTCGTAGCAATTGTCATTGCAAATCTACGTTTTTTGCTTCTACTTTTATAAGTTTCATAACTTTCGGGTGAATAGTCTAAAATTCTTATGGAAAATTTCAACATAATATTTATGTACATAATTAGTTGGCTTACTATTACAAGGTTCTATGGTAATTTTAATGAAGTGTAGTAATTTTTACATAGAACTTCGTTATTTTGTTATCGTAAAAAAACAACATAGAACTATGTAAAATTGAATATTTTGTAGTTAAAGTGCCGCTATCTAATGATTTGTTTTTGCAAAACTGTAGCTAATGACACAGAACCTTGTAGCATTCATAACTAAATAAGTACTAAAATTGTAACATAGAACCTTGTAATAGTGAGCCAACGAATTATGTGCCCCTTACATAGAACTGATCGATATACAAAAGAGAAGGAAGGCTGTTAGTGTTTTCGCTTACAAGAATCCGTGTTTTACATTTATCGAAAAAACTAGATTTTTTTATGAGTAACTGTTAACCAAGGTTTAAAACGGTTAGTCACCAATTTTTTTATCGAAAGTAAAATAAATTTTACTATACATATGTATATAATATTTTGAATATAACATAACCACTTGTAGATATGTAAGTGGAATGTGTAAATGCATTTTCCAATGTTAAAAAATAGGTGAAGTGTAAGCCGTATCGAATAATATGATATTTCAATGTAAGTCAGTATACAATAGAATAACAAGTAATATGTGTATTTATTTATTTTTGTTTTACTAACTACTCACTAGAATATATATGTACTAATAAATGGAGAGCCGATTTTTTTTTCGGTTATACTGCGATAACCGATCGGAATAATACTCATACCATAAGATGCAGCGTGTTTCGGAGAAGGTTTTAGTATATCGTTGGTTCACCATTACAAGGTTCTAAGTTACAATTTTAGTACTTATTTAGTTATTAATGCTACAAGGTTCTATGTGTCATTAGCTACAGTTTTGCAAAAACAAACCACTAGATAGCGGCACTATAACTACAAAATACTCAATTTAACAAAGTTCTATGTTGTTTTTTTTTACGATAACAAAATATCGAAGTTCTATGTAAAAATCTCTAAACTTCATTAAAATTAACATAGAACCTTGTAATAG